CGTGGCAGAGCACAGTTTTCACCTTGTGTTTAAAGAGTTTCACAGACGAAGCCTCCGGCTACAACTTTGGCACAAGCCGTGAGTAAAAAGAGGGCTCAGCGCGCTGCTGCTGTGTTTTTACAGTAAGAGACAGATTTGCCTTTTGAGCAATGAAGGAAAAGGCGCGAAACTCCAGAGCTGCTTTTGCCATGCATGTGGCAAAGCGGATGTTGTAGTCTGTCTCTGATGGAAGCAAAGATCGCCCATTCACGTGGATGTGCTGTGTCGAGAACAGTCGTGAGCATCGAATTGTTTGGCCTAAGGCTTCGAAGCCTTCGAGAACAAGAACGAAAGGATCTTTGAAGCCTTCGAAGCTTGGCCAAAAAAGCAAGAAAGAAACCTTACGTTCCACCTTTTGGGGTTAAAAACGAAGAAAAAGATGAGAAGAAAATGAAATCAACAAAATGTCGGCGCAAACCCCCCTTCGAAGGTCCCTTCGGAAGGCTTTAAGCCTTCAAAGCTGCGGCTGAAGTGGAGCTTCGTTGACCCTTCGAAGGCTTTGAAGGCTTCGAAGCCCAAGCTGAAGGGAGACTTTGAGTTTTAGTTGCTTAACTGCGTTGCAAAAAAAAGGTCGCTCCATTTAGTTCCAACTCCAGGTCCAAAAATAAGGCCGTTTTCTTAGCTTTTAAGAAATGTGCCAATTGTGGAAAACCAGCACTCTGACCAGTAGTGTTTCAGATGCGACACACAGCACGTTTGTTTTCCTGTAGATTTTGTAGTTTTCAGGTTCGTGCCTGTGCACGCAGTTTGTGCTTGACAGTTTGTTGTTGCCTCAGTCGTTTTCTTAATGCTATCGTTTGGCTCAAGACACGTTGGACCAGAAAATCTTTCCATCAAGGAATGGGTCCGTACAGCCAGAGCATTCATGGACTTCTTGGGATACAAGCTCGTGTCCAGGTACCATGGATACACACGCTGCCACCTTTTTTACCAAGCCGCAACTGCTTGGGCACTGCAAGAGTGGCTGTTCTTGTAGAAATTGCGGTCATGGCACATGTGTCCATGTGATACTTTGCTTTTGGCGATGTTCTTGCTGCATGCAAGGCTTCAAGGCATTTGCATGCAAGATGGAAAAAACACTGATCCACTTGGAACAGGTCGTGCTTCTGGGACACTGAAATTCTCCAAAGTGGAAGAGCTCAAGTTACCCTCCACGTGTTACCCTTGGTGGAAAACTCAGAGACTGGAAGGACGTGGCTCCATTCTTTCAGTTTTTTCTTTGTTTTTGGCTCCAAAGTATTCTTGTGTGACTTTTGTTGCGCGTTCGAAGCCTTTTAGCGTTCGCGTGGTCTGTTGCGGACAGTCTTTTGCTTTTCTTTCTTTTTTTTCTTCATTAAAAAGCGTTTTTTGTGCTTTCTCTTTGCAGTGGAAAGATGAAAAGTGAACGAGGGCAAGAGGAGCTTCGAAGGTTTTGAGAAAGAGAAAGAGGGTGAGACACGACAATTGAACGTGGATACCACTGAACGACAGCCGGAGACTTTGCATTTGGAGGCTTTGGGTGGCGACGGCCTGCTTTCTACCCAAAGGGTAAATTCGTAGATTGTGAACCTGCAGTAGCTCTGAGCAGGCTGTTGTTTCATCGCTTCTTGATGGTTTGTTGGTTTGTTGGCTTAGCTTGGAGGAGGCACGTGCAATAAGGCGCCCGGACATGGGACGTAAGTATGGCATCTGCGGTGATTTTGCGAGAATTGTTTGCACAGCAACGCCCGTTGGTTCATTTGCGATAGCTGTGTTGTCGTCGTTCTGACATTGCCGTTAGCAGCATCAACCCTTCATCAAAATAACCGAAAGCAGGTTTGTTACAATAACCATTTTAGCAACTAATCTTACAATTTTGTACATTCCTAACCATGTTAGCTTCTGCGTTAGCAAAGCATTGAAGCCGTGAACTCCAAAGTAAACTCAGCCGAAAATCTTTTCGAGAGCATGGCTTCAGCGCCCTCGCAGTATGCCATGGCGAAGGAGCAATGCGCAAGGCGGCCTTTTCGAGCTTTCGACAAGCAAACAACCAACTTTACACCCATGAATGTCAGCTCCAAGGTCTGAACATTTCACATTCTGTACATCAGGACTTCGGACTCAACTCTTGCATACTTGGAACTCCCGGTTGGAATGTATGATGCGCCAGTCCAGCACACCACGCGGTACTTCAGCTCTAAACTTTAAAGATTCAATCCGAAGCGGTAGGTTGCTGCCTTTTCCATGTCGGGGTCTTTCTGATTTCTTAGAGTTGGGTCCAGTCAGGACAATCAGAACAACACAAGTAAGACAAGCAGAGACTAAAGTAAAGCAACATAACACTTTCTCCATGAAAGGAACTCGGTTCTTTGAGCAGCTAGCTGGCAAACGGGGTGTATTGCCGTCTGGTGCTCTTGACCGCCAAGGGTTTTCTTTTTTTGAGCGGCTTCAGGTCTTCGTGGACTTCTCGTGCTCTTGGCGATTTCCAGTGGTGGCGGCGAAGATGGCAGTCTGCCCGATTGGTGCAAGGAGATATGCCCAGCGTTCCTGTACCACCTCAACCGTGTTTCTGTCGAGGACAAGCGAGACGACTGTGTCCGTTACATTGGGCATCCCTGGCAAGATTCGTCGTGCGTTGCCACGCACTCCCAGCACCTCAAAAGAAGAAATCTCAACTGGTGTTACTTAACAGGGCCATGGGAGTGTAGAGTTCAGTAGGGCAACCAAAGTAATAGTTTCTTAAGCCACGGTCAGGGTACTTTTAGCCATTCTGTTGCGGAACCCCCTGATCCTCCAAGTGCCCCATTGCGGTTTTGCATCTGTTTCCAAGAGTTTGTGGATCAAGGGAAGTTTTCGATCTGATTTGACTCGCCAGGCGTGGTCCCATGGGCGGTGGCTGCATACGCCACGAGCAGTGCGCCTCAGAAGTGTCATGTGCCATCATGCAGAACGTCCGTCCAGCATGGCTACTTGGAGGACCAGTGGAGGATGAGACGGTTGTAAACACTTCATTTAGCGGGTGTCGGTTATTAAATCTTGTTCAAAAAGCCTTACTTGCGAAGATTTCAAGCAGCACGTGCCGTGAAGCTGTGACAGCAGGTACATGCGCCTCTTCTGTGCCCGGACGTGCAACTTCTGCGACAGACCGGAGGCTTCGGGACAATGCCAGTGCACGCAGCGTTTCAGCCTGCATGCTTGTGAGGTTCCAGCACTGGATGTACGTCGTGTTTAGGGAGCATGACGATGATGGTCATGTTGCTGATGGTGGTGGTGACTTAGAGGATGATGCTGATGATGACGGGTTTAGTGATGACGTCTAGTTTGATGTGGATGTATGTGATACAAGGTGGTAAGGTTGGCGGTTGTTCTTGAGGCGTCGTAGTGGTTTCAAGGTATACGAATGCCGAAAGAGACGATGGCGCTGTTGTGTCGCTCCATCAGCTCCAGCTGTACAGCCCTCAACCTGAAACCCAATACCCGAACCCTAAGCCCATAATGCCCGATTTGCTGTGGCCAGGATGAGCTGCAGGTGTCGCAGGTGGGCGGTGGCCACTGTTTGTGAGTTCTGCTGCAGCGGGTGGATGTTCGGTTCTTGTGTGGCTATAGCTGGCTGTATACTGCATGCGTGATCTAGTTCGGGTTAAGGCTCAGCTTGTTGACTCATACTTGCGCCGGTCATCGCATGCAAGCGCCCGCAACCTCGAGCTTGTTGCCTTTGAATGGCAGGCCTTGATCGCTGGTGAACTGGTTGGACTCCTGAAAGCACGAGGCAGGATCTTTTGCATCCGAGTTAGTTTTGTTGCTGACTTAATGTAAGACTTAATGTTCTTTTTATTGACGGTCCGAGCCCGGGAATCACGAGCAACGAGAGCGTAGGGGCTGAGAAGCCCGAAACTTGCCAACTGTTACAGTTTCACTGCCCTGTTTTTGAAACCTGACCTATGAATCAAAGGAGCATAAAAAGGATAGTTCTCTAGAGCTCCAGAAGCCCTTCAAAACGACATCGAATATGACCCTTAATACTCTACCCTGCACCCTAAATCCCCCTTAAAGGAGCCCTAATACTTAATCAACCTTAGGAACCCTGACAGTAACCCGACATAAAGAAAAGAAGCGCAGGTGTCCGGAGATGGACCTTCTTCGAGCTGCCCGTGATCAACGTCTCGTGGCGCATCGTTGCCGTGGGGGCTTTTGGTTCAGGGGCACGGTGGTTGTAGCAGGGAAGGGTCTTATTGAGGTTTCTGCATCTCTTTTGCATTAGGCTTTTGTTATTTTGAATACGGTGTGTTGTAAGGGTTCTATACGACGGGCTTTTCAATCGGGTGATGCAACGGCTTTGCATGCGGTGTGCAAGGACCTCAAACGGGGTTGTCGGGATTTCATGGTTCAGGGTTTCTCATTTGAGGGGGTTCAATGTTTTCCCATGAGGCTCGTCGAGCTAAGGGTGTTGAGGGTTTGATTCCAGGGGTTTTTGGTCGTCAGCCCCGAAGCACAGATCAGATTCCGCATGTCATCCAAGGCCTTACATCCTAATACCTAAACCCCAAACCCTAGCACTTAAACTCTAGCACCCAAAGGCCTCGGATCCTTTTCACACCCACGACTTCGCACGCATTCTTTGTGAGAGAGGCCCATGCTACCGAGGCTCAGATCTGCATCTCAGCGTGTTCAAGTAGTGAGCTGTCCTGTTCTTTACAAGGACCTTCTAGGCTCCACAAGTCACAACCGACTGTATCTTTCGATGTGACTCCAGGCCACCTTTCGGGCTTAAAAGATTTTTTCCGACGTGTTTCGGCCATGGAGCGACTTAGCCGCGTGACGAAGCACCTGCTCCCTGCTCCCGTGGCTGGTGCAGCGGTGCCTGGTCTGTGGATTGCAGGAGACTCTCAGTCGAGGCTTTCGTCAGATTAGCAGTGCGTCGCACTGATAAGGATGGTGATTAACATGAATATGACTTGTGGGTCTCAGTTCTTGACGGGTGAAATAGCAAACACTCTGCTTCTATGTGTCGTCATTGTTGACATTATTCTTGTGAAGGAGACGTTGACGACGAAGTAGTACTAGTGCTATCTTTTTGCGAGGCGTTGGAGTGCAGGCAGTTGAGTGAAGTGTTGGATTTCCCGGAAGCAGGACGCGCGCCACGATAGCATGAGCGGAAGAAGACAGTGAATACATTCGCAGTTTTTTGGCTGTGTAGTGGGTGTACTGTCGCAGTTGCTCCTGCCTAAGCTGTGCTGCGGCTGCTGCCCGTTGCGCCAGTTTCAGTGATTCAGTGCCAGGTACATGTTCAGCAACCCTCGAAGTGCCCAACAGAGCAGGGGAGTGAAGCCCAACCACCGAAATCCCTGAGCCCTAAACCCAAAGCCTCATCTCTAAGCTCCAAATTCAAAGACGCTGAACCGTAAACCCTGAACCTTCAAACCTTCAATACCCTTAAAACACACTTAAGAGCCCTTAGAACCTCAACAAAAAACTTTCAGAAAGCTTAACACATCAGTGACAAACCCCTTTCAAGACCCGTAAAGCCCTAAGCCCTAAACCCGTGGAAGCCCTTTAAGAAACCCTAAGCCCGCGACCCTTATTTAAAGAACCGCTGAAAGCTGTTAAAACCCTTTAAAGAAACCCGATGTCCGAAGCTATCCTAGGTCTTGGAGAATTTCATCGGCCGGGTTCCCAGCTGTTTTCGGGCTGGCGGACTTTTGGTTTCAGGGGTTTCTGCGGTTTTAGGGGTTTTAAGGATATTTGGGGGTGGGTTTTCGGGCTTTTTAGGGTTTGTTGATTGTGGGGGTTGTTGTGATTGGCTTCAGGCTTCTAGCGTTTCAGGGTTCGGGCTGTGGGATTGCAGGGTTTCAGTATGTGTTTTCAGAGTTTTAGGGTGTTAGGGTTTTAGAGGTTGAGGGCTTTAGAGGTTGAGGCATTTCGGGGCTTTTGGATTTCAGGGTTCTAGCTTGGGGTTCTGTCGGGTATGGCCTGGTGGGTTTTGAAGGCTTTCTGACAGGATTGTATGGGCATTCATTTTAGGGTATGCCAGAAGGATCACAGAAAGTAGTAAGTCAGGCGGAGTTTTTATCAACATGACTCCTTTCCTTGATGGCCCCAATAGCCGGATACTTCCAGCCTTATTCAAGGAGGTGGGTTTCTGAATCAGGGTCTGAATCCCTTGCCCCCAAACCCCAATAAGACTGTTACGGAATCATTGAAAGACCCCGGTAGAAGCATCGAAGGCTCTTGAGAGGCCCGAAACCTGAAGGCCTCAAGCAAGGGCTTCCCCGTTGGGTGGCGAAAGCGGGCTCCTCGAAAACCCCCAACCCTACGTTACGTCTAAGACCCTAGATCCGGAAAACCATGACCTCTTGAGGACCCTGAAAGGAACCCTTAAAGCCGAAATCCTGAAACCCTGAACCCGTGTGCAAAGAGAGGTGGGAGCTTCGTGGCCTCCTCCGCCACCTCCACCATCCAATGCACAAACCCGGCGACCAGGGAGGAGATCGCCCAAGTCCCGGACGGGACCGCCGCCGACGTGGATGCTGGGCCGCAGAGAATAACAACAAGGGGGGGCAGGGGTTTGGGGCTTAGGCTTTGGGGTTAGTTCGGGTTTAGCTTTTGGGGTGTGTTCGATCGTTCCACCGGCTTGCATCCTGGGAGCCCTTATCCCTAGACCAAACGAGGACCAGGCTGCTCAAGCTGCCACCGCCGCTTTTCCTGCCTGGCGCGACACGCCGGCGCCTGGATGATTTTATTTGGTTTCAATATGTTGCTGAAGGTTTTTCTGGGAGTTTACCGGGGGTCACAGCGCTTCTTTTGAGTTCAGTTGTCTTTTGTAGAGGTTGCATTACCGGTTTTCTAGGGATTTAGGGCGGGGTCGTTCAAGGGGTATATTTTGATTGGGCATGCATGGTTTCCTGCTTTGTTGAGGAAACATTTCGAGTGCTCATTAAATAAGAAGGGGGTCTTGCGGATGCTGTGGCACGCTGAGGTGAAAGCTCGCGCAGAGGTCCTTTTCCGCTTCAAGGCCACGGGATATCTTCTTTCTTAAACTGGGCCTATGCCCCTAAACTCTAACAGAAAACTTGAAGGACCCTGGACCTCCCGAGACCTGAAATCGCCAACCCTGAATGTCTAAAACTCGTAGGTTTTGCAAAAACTCGGAAGATCTACCATGTCTTGTGCTCTCGTCTAGCGTCTTAACTCCCCAAAAGCTCCCGCAGCCTAAACTCTTAGACTCTAAACACGACAGCTTAAAGGTCCCGAATTCCGACCGCGCCCTTCAGGCGCTTTGTGAGGCGAATCTGGCAGAGCTCACGGCTTTGGTTGTCAAGGCCGGCCGATAAGAATAAGCAGATCTTGCTGAGAAATAATGATGAGTATCGTGATAGGAAGAAACCTTCAGCGGTTTTGGCGTTTCAGGTTTTTGTGTTTTGGGTTTTTGGGTTTTGTGTTTTGGGTACGATTTATCTAATGCTTCACACGGATTTGTTGGGGCTTCTCATGAGTGTTATGAAGGATTGGAAATCGGGGTTTGCGATTTAGGAATGTTGTTCAAGGGCTTTAGCGCTTGAAGGTTTCGTGTTTGGTGCCAGTGTGTGCACGAGTATCCGGAAGAATGTTGGTGAGCGCTTACTTAGTCCAATTGTCGGGGAACTCGCACGCCACGCTTTGGGATCTCGGGGGTTTTGGGTTCTATTAAGGGCTTTTGTAGGGCTTCTATGCGGTGGTAGAGTTTTGGGCTAAGGAAACCTAAATCCACAAACCCTTTTCCCCAAACCCTAAGCCCCTAAGCTCCAAACCCCTAAGCCCTAAACAACTAAGCCCTGAACCCAAAACCGAAGCTCTTGAAACATTGGCCACATGGGGGTTTCCGAAAATAGGGGACCCTAATATAGTACCCTAAATAATAGGATCCCTATTATAAGGACCCCCAAAATAAGGTACCCTAATTTTCTGAAACTCCCACATGTGCTGCAGGAGCACGGCAAGAACAGCGGGGAAGCTGAAGCCGAAGTTCTCAAAGGAGCCGCCTGTGGAGCCTCTTTCTGGGGTTCAGGGTTTCGGGTTCAGGCGGGTTTAGGGTTTAGGGTTTAGGGGGGCGGTTTCGGGTTCAGTCGGGTTTCGGGTTTAGGGTTTAGGGTTTCAAGGGTTTTGTTTCAATGCGGGGGCATCCCGCCTACAGTAGGGCTCAGGGCTTCGGACTGGCGGCCTTCTTGGAAGTTCAAAGTGCCTGGCCTCGGAGCTTTTCAGACCGTGGACAGCCGAAGTCTTCGGTCCGAAAGCCGAATAAGCAAGTTCATCCCTAGCTCCCAGACCCTCCCTAAACCCTAAACTATCAAGCTTTAAGGTCTCTAAGCCATGCTTGTGGTAAGCCCTCAATCCTTGAACTTTTAAGCCATGCACCTAAAGCAACCTCGACCCTGAGCCTAGGATACCGATTCTGCTTGGTAGCGGAACCTGGCCCTGCTTATTATGTCCATTGATCCCTGAAAGATAAGATGGGGCCTATCAACACCTTTGGATGCACGGTAAATCCTAAAAGATTCGTAACAACCTTCTCAAAACCTCGCACAGCTGCATCGTGCGCTACTCGGTAGGTCGCCTTCGGCGCAGGCCCCCCCCCAACCCTAGACCCTTAGATTCCGCATCAAAACCCGTACACTCTCATAGAGCCCTTACAGACGCCCACTTTTGCCCTTCTCGAAAAACCCTCAGCGCCAGGACTGGAGACGGTGGCCTTCGCCACGGGGCTTCCCGACCTCATGGCCGGACGTATCCTCGAGGCCTGGAGAGTTTGGGGTTTTGGGGCTTTCGGGTTTAGGCTGAGGTTGCTTTGTTTTTTTGTACAACGGGTTAAAACGTTTTAAGAGGTTCTAACGGCGTTTCGATAGGGGGTCTATGAGGACTTTTTGGGGATCTAGAGGGTGTTAAGGGGTTTTTAAAGGGTTTCAGGGCTCAGTGGTTCGCGGGTTAAAGGTTGGGGGGCAAGAAACGCATGCTAGAGCATTATTATCATGCTGGGGCACGCTGTCCTACAGTATAGTACATTTGACTGCAGTTTCGTTTCATGTAGTCCTGTCGAGACATGACCTGAAAGAGTGGAACATTTTTTTTGCTGTCGTTGTTTTTCTTTGTGCTGTCTGTGCGCAAATCCAGGAAGCCAGTGAGTGAG